ACTACTGCACTCTCATGCGGCTTCTATATCAATATAGAAAGTGATACAGTGTCACATGCAACTATAAGTATAATGTTTGGATCGGTTTCTCTTTGCAAGGAAAAGTGAGAGATGAGACAACTAGCTTAACACTTAACAGACGAGCACTTTAATAAGTAAGAGACCAATGCTTATATTTTTTATCTTACACTCACATCACACGCAAATTCACATTCACAAGCATGGGAGCTCACCTGGTCCAACGAGCTTGGTATTTATAATCACTATACTGCACTCTCATGCGGCTTCTATATTAATATAGAAAGTGATACAGTGTCACATGCAACTATAGGTATAATGTTTGGATCGGTTTCTCCTAAAGATTTCTCTTTGCAAGGAAAAGTGAGAGATGAGACAACTAACTTAACAGACGAGCACTTTTATAAATAATAGACCAATGCTTATATCTTTTATCTTACACTCACATCACACTCACTCGACCAGGAAACCACTAAAATGCAACTTAATATTCTCGGTATAATTTTTTCCTTTTCACCCTTTTGAAAAAAGACAATAGTGAAAGGTTACGAATGGAGGTTTCGGCAGAAAAACGTTGATTTGGAGATCGCGTTAGGCAGGTCTGTATATGATGTCATTTCTTCCGTTACCATGCAACGAAAAAGTCGCGCGCGCGAGGATTGCATGCGGAGATGCATGATGTATAAATAGCCTGTGAGCTATGAATGCGTGGCGCGACTGTGTTTTAATGTATATGATGCATGTATATACATATCACCGGAGACTCGCTGGCGGCACAAAATATTGCACGCGTGTGCAATATTTCATATGTCCCCGAGGGCACTAGCCCGAGGAGGACATATTTTCGTATAGCACGGAGGGCCCATCAAGCCCGAGTTTTTTTCCGCCCTCGGGTCGAGGTGATGTGGATTGTATCCACCAGCGTGAGCTTTTTCTTACAGATATTAGTTTTTACTTTAGTTTCTTCAAGATATCCGTTTTTAATTTAGTTTCACTTGTACTTTCAACATGTTTCTAATGAAATTGAACGAACAAATAAAACAGGGGTTACAGTTGATCGAAATTAGAATTTAGAACTTCTCAAGTGTAGTTGTAATGCCACTAATTAGATGATCATTTACTAAGTTTTATAAATGTAAATATATCAACAATGTAATATATCCACAAGTGGGCGTTTATCACGAAGCTTCAGTTTCCAACAATCACAGCAAATGAATGCACAAGATTTCAGAAATTTTACGAGAAAATCATGTTGCTTTTAGTTTAAGATGTAGAACAGGCCAAAATGACTGACTATAGAACGAAAAACCGGCCGCTATCAAACAATGTTTCAGCTCATTGTTTCATGTACATATAATTTTATTGTAAACGATCAAAATATAGGCCCTCTATCCCTCTCTCCCTCATCTCCTTATCTCCTTCTCCCCTCTCTCACTCTCTCTTGACCATTGTTAATAATTTGGCCCGGCGCGCTACTTAGTAGCACTTGCCATCGGGCCATTTCGAGAAGAAAGCTGCGCGCGCTACTTCGAAGAAATTTTGACGAGTAACATCCGTCAAACTCTCTCACTCTGTCCCTATCTTCCTTTCTCCTTCTCCCACTCTCCTTACCTCCCTCTTTCCCTCTATCACTCTCTCTCTTTATCTCCCTCTCTCCTCATCTCCCTCTCTCCTCCTCTCCCTCTCTCCTCCTCTCCCTCTCTTTCTCTCCCTCTCTACTTCTCTACCTCTCTCCCTCCCTGGAACCAGAACAAGCACCGCCAGTCGCCACAGAGCAGCTGCTACTACCACGTGAGTTGTCATTATCTGTTACCAGGGTAATCAGGGCACGGTGGGACCTGTGGAAGCGCATTGCACTAGAGATTTTTCGCGCGCTGAGTGTTGCCAGGCAAATATTTGTAGCGCGATGCACTACTGGGTCGCGCCGCGTATCATATAATTCTTCTTGCAACCACATGCCCGTATGCAGATCGGCGAGATGCGAAGGATTGACATCGTGAATCAAGACAAATACTTCATCATGATTTTCATTGACCACCAGCTCTATTTTTACTTGGCATACCATTAGTTCATGTTTCAGTTTTAAAGAGCAGAATATAATTCTCGAAAAACTGATCAATTCAACATCTGCCAATTCCGCCCACAAAAAGCGGATTGAGACCCTCGAGATCGGCCAAGAAAACTTGACGAAGGCCACGAAGGGAATTGCCAAGTCTGCACTCAACCAATCTCATGCCTCAACCCAAGAACTCAAACACGAGCTTCGCCCCATCGTCGATGCAATTGATACCACAAGCGCTTCTAACAGGACGAGAATAGAAGCCCTGGAGATCAACACTATACAAGCTCTAAATACTGCTGAGCAACCTGCAGCGACCAACATAACTGTGGCACCCAACAGTCCTCTCAAAGTGAAAATCCAATGGCGATAAACCCAGTGCACTCAGTAACAGTTCCAGTAATGCCACAGCACGTCTAGGAGAAAACGAGCCCAAGCAATCAGTGACTTCCTGGGTAAAGGTGGTCGAACAAAGCAACAACAAACGATCCACAGTGGCAAACAAGCAGAACATGAAAAACCACAACGAAAGGGGCTCCAAAGATGATCGACCTACTAAAGAAATGAGGCTGAATCAAGGGAGCCTCATCAGTAGTAATATAAAGCCCCCTTTGACCCACCTGAAAATTTCTAGGATTTTCGACACTTGTAAAAATTTAAGCTTTTAGGGTTTATTCAGCAACCCTTTTTGAGTAGTTTTCCCATTCTAATGTTTTTTAACCTAATCCAAGCTCACAGTAAATATAGAACATTTTAAAAGTTATCCGAAAAACACAGAGTTGACTCATTACTACTACGCCATTTTCAAGCATAGCGGAGGTTTGTTGAGAAAATACTGGCTGTGTTCGCAGTTTCTCGGATTCTGGGTTATCCAGTAGAAACCAGGTCTTCATTTGATCTTTTCCCTTGAGGAAACAAACTTAATTCAATACATTTTTTTTGTTCAGGGAGCAGACTTGCCACATAGGTCCAGGAGTACCGAACGTTTAGGCAGTGTGCTAGGTTATGGAACACACTCAACTAGTATAGGTAGTCTGAGAGTCCGAAAGTCTCCAAAAGGAGATGTCATCAGAGTGTGATCCACTGCCTGACTAACCTGTGAGTAGTTGTTGTTGTGAAACCAGCTTTTTTTTTTGCCGGTACCCTTAAGGGATTTCAAGTCAACTTATAAAATCAAAAAATTCACACACCAAACAATATCTCACTCCCATCGGGCAGAAATTAACCTTTAATAAATCATAGTAAGTAAATGTATAGTCTATAGAATATGCGTATGAAAACTTAGCCTAGTTAAATAAAACCTACTGGTGAGACTTCCTTCACGATTGCTATTCAGCAATGTATGGTCCAAAAATCATCACGGGAAATTATATGAGTAACAATCCCGTTGGCCATACTTCATCAGGTCTCAAAAAGTCTGCACTTCGAGTTGCTATACCAAATTTGAAATTCAGCGAAATCACGCACTTTATTCTAAACTCTTAAACTCAGCCCAATTGCACACAAATCAACAAAGAAGATAACAGATTAATCTGAGTTAATTATCTCTTATATGCATTCACTACACTCAAAACTTTTCCGTCGTTAATATAGTGATACTTCGACGGTTCAGCAGATATTTTCTCCTTTAATTGAGCTACGAGTTTTTTATGTGTTGCTTGTTCCTCTCGGTTTCTATCTGGAGCAACGAACCAGCTGTGGTAGGTTGTACAGAGGGACTTTTTCAAATGATTTGCTCTCGAGAGAGCCTCTTTCACTGATTCGTTACTATTCATAGTCACTTTGATTGGCCTCGGCCTACCATCCTCCCGTTTCTTCACACCGATACGATTAGCAGCTACAACATCAGAGTGGTTATTGTGTTGCAAAATCTTGTCCAGTACTTCATCTGCTAAATCAGCGGGGCACGTGGAGTAGTCCTCCGGAACTCCGTGGACGATGAAGTTCCTGCTCCGAGCGTCGTCTTGAACAGCAGACTGTACTGCTTTCTTCACTGTCTTCAAAGTTGGAGCTTTATTGTCGCAGTTTTTCCTGGCAATTTCGCTCCATGTCTTCATCTCCGTTTTAATCTCAGTTTGAACAGTCTCCTGCACAGATTTTAGCTGCTCTCTCTGCACTTTTATCAGTTCTGACTTAACATAATCGATGGTACCGGCTGCAGATTTGCATAAAACAATGTTACTGATCAGTGATTTGGTTAAGTTCTCAATGAGTTTTGCCATCGTGTCCTTGTTACATTTCATGAGTGCTGCATGATTCAGTTCCTCAAATTTTTCAATATTGACAGCGTTCTTCGCAGTATTTGCAGTATTGACAGCTTTTAAAACTTTTTCCACTGATGAATGCAAAGCTTCCTCTTGTGTGTGTAGATCTGCTACGTTGAATTCCATTGTCAATTGTACAACAAACGGGCTGTACAGCACGGTGCTGTGTTAAAGTTGATAAAACAGCTGATAAGAGACGATTTAAACCGTTGCATAAGCTAGATAAAATGATTGCTACTGATGAGCTAGATAAAATGATTGCTACTGATGAGATAAAATGATTGCTACTGATGAAGATAAAATGATTGCTACTGTTCATTAGACTCTATAATGATGACAGGTAGTATCTTCTGTGTGTTGCTGAGATCCAGTTTCCATGGTACATATCGCCTGTTATTGAAGTAGGTGGAAGAAGGATAATCGATAATATTGTCCCCACTTACTAGAGGAATTTTATTTTAGAAGACGAACTGATGGTATCGAAAGGAAAAAGTGGATGTTGTAAAAAACAAAGGTAGTGAATATAATATATGAATATAACAAACAAAATGTATATATAACAGGTCGAAATATAATGCTTAGATGACGATATATCGTACATAATTAAATAGAAAAGAGCATAGTAATGATAAATAGTGTGTTGTCGTAGCCATTGTCATTCAACAAGGTCCTGATAGAGATAAGAGAGGAGTGCTAAGGAGGAACTTGAGTAGAGCGTGAGGGGGGATGCGGTTAACATCTGCTAGGCGTGGCGAGAAGCCAAGGTGGCGTAGACGCTGAAACTTAAGTGCTGGGCAATAAACTAGTATGTGTGAGTTGTCCTGCCGTCCAGAGAGGCAGTATGAGCACGTGGGATTAATTGTGTTATCAAGCTTTTGCAAGAAGGCTCGAAGTGGTGCTCGATTATCAAGAAAAGCGGTGAGAATGCGAGAGTTCCGCCTGTTAAGAGATTTGAAGAATGAAACATGTTGGGGTAAGGAGTAGTGAGCTAGCAGAGAGTGGAGAGTATTAGAAGTAGCTACGGCTGACCAGTCAGTGGCTCTGGTGGTGTAGCTATTATCACGCAGTGTAGACTTGAAAAGGGTTGTAGGAAGAGGGACTGCTTTCAAGAAGCTGCAAGTGGTCCATTCTTTGGCAAGAGTATCAGCCAGTTCATTTCCTTGTATTCCCGCATGTCCTCTTATCCATGTAAGGAAAACAGAGGAGCATTCGGCGGTGAGAATATCTAACTCTCTTCTAGTGTCGATGCAAAGCCGACTAGACGATGCTTCAGCAGAGAGGGCATGAACTGACGATAGTGAGTCGGTAAAAATAGCTATCGATGCGTTGAGACATGACAGGGAGCGAAGAAATATGCATGCTTCCCTTATGGCCATCATTTCTGCTTGATACACAGTGTTGCGGTCGTCCAGTCTCCATTTAAATGTTGCTAAGGGGTCATTGTTATACATGGAGTACACCACGAGTGCTGATCCTGTTTTGTTGTTAAGGCGGGATCCATCAGTAAAGCAGCAGAAGTGGTATTGATCAGTTACCGACTTGTGTGAGGAGATGAGTGCGTTCATTAGTTCTTCGTTTGCCAGATTGGTTATGAACATTGGAGTCTTGAATCTTTCTGGGCGGGTGATGTCCCAGTGTTCCATACTGGGTGTAAGACAGTTGGAGTAGTTGGCTGAGTGTGGCAGGAATTTCGTCCTGGTGTTATTGACTAGGTTGAACCTGTTGTGACCATGCAGGCGGAAAAGGGTCGAGCTAGCAGACTTGTTGATCTCGCTATGGAGTGGCAGAATACCTGTGGTAACTTCCATGCTTCTTCTGGAAGTATATTTCGGGCAGTGGACGATTGTGCGGCAGGCCAGGGACTGCACTTTAGACAGTTTAGCAATGATATGAGATTTAGGGTTAAGGCCCCAAACATGACATCCGTATGTCACTGCAGGTAGTACAACTGACTTGTAGATCCACTGTGCGGTATTTTTAGAATAACCCCAGTTTTTCCCAATAGTTCTTCTAGTTGCAAGTAGGGTCCAGGTTGCTTTATGTATGACGTGTTCTACATGTTTTTTCCAGTTGAGTTTTTGATCCAGTATCAGTCCTAAGTAGCGAACGTCAGTGGAGTAGTTGATAGGATGGTCATCTATCAGTATAGGGGTATCAATTACAAATTTCCTTTTCCAGGTGAAGAGTACTAAAGAAGTCTTATGCGGGGACAACTCCAAGTCATTAGCTTTACACCAGTCCTTGATGGTGTTGACTATGAGTTGCATCTGACTAATAAGTGCGTGAAGATTTTCACCAGTGACTGCAGTAACAAGGTCATCTGCAAAACCCTGCGTGAAGTCAGGCTTGTGGAGCGAAGTATTGAGGGACACGAGGAGGGAGTTGATGACGAGATTCCAGAGAAGGGGCGAAAGTACTCCTCCTTGAGGGGTTCCTTTTAGCATGTATTTGATGAGAGAAACACCCTTTAGAGAAAAAAGAACCTTACGATTCCCAAGGAGGTTGATAATCTATTTGATAAGATGGTTATCTATGCCTGATCTTTCCAGTGCAGCAATTATACTCTTGAATGAAATGGAGTCAAAGGCAGCCTTGATATCAACGAAGCATGTAAGGGCAAAATGACCTTTGGATAGAGCATCTTCAATGAACGAGACAACTTTATGAAGTGCTTCATCCGTGGATCTACCTTTTCTAAAACCCAGCTGATCATTACTCAGAGACTGATCGATGTTGAGTTCTTCGTTTAAGTACAATAACACAGTTTTCTCTAAAAGTTTAAGAAGACTAGAGCAGAGACTAATAGAACGTAAATTTTGGGCGAGGAAATGTTGTTATTTCCCCGGTTTAGGCAGAAAAATACCAGTTGAGGTGTGCCACAGGTAGGGGATAGTACCTAAGCGCAGGCTATCCTTAAAGAGGTCATAAAAATAAGTTTTAAGCTGAGGCCAGGAGAGGATAATTAAATTATTAGAGATATTATCTGGACCTGGTGCTTTCTTGTTGGTCAAGTAGGAGAAGGCTTTGTCGATCCTTTTCTTAGTGCAGATTAATGAAGCAAGTTCAGAAGGAGAAGGCTGATCGGATGTGGGAGATAGAGAAGAACAGTAGGCTATTTCTGAGGAGGACGTGAGTGCGGGGGTTACTTGTCATGGAATCTTTTTTTGTGATTTCAGTTAGTGTTTCTAAGGCAGTTTGTGTAAAGGTACCATCACCTTTTTTAAGGGATGCAAGGGTGGTTTTACCACGTTTAAGATGTTTGATGAGGTTAGCAAATTTGGAGCGTGAGGACGATGTGTTGGAACAGTGATCTTGCCAGCTACTATTTTTAGACTTTTTAATAAGCTTAACGTACTTGTTGTTGGATTTCTTATACGCCGAAAGATCAGTCAAAGCTCCTAAACGTCAATTTCCCAGTTAGATCCTTGTTATCTTTAACAACAGTATTTTGCATGACTACATGTTCTTGAAACTTTTCCTGCAATTCAAAATGACCTGCTTGCAAATTCTTTAAATCGTTGGCCAAAACCAAATTTTCGGTCTCTTTTTGTGTATATTTAATTAGCAGTAGACGATGTTGAAGTTGCAGAGACTTAATACGAGAGTTTTGTCTAATTACAGTAGACCTATGTGCCAGAGTATAGTTTTTATAAGGCCTCACAATCAGAGCCGAGTTACCAATACAAAGAGGTTGAGTAAGTTTAGCTACCTTAGGGGGGCTGATACATTGAATACCTGGGGACAGAGATCGTTTTTTCACAACCCTAGTTCTAAGAATAATACGATGAACATTTTGCCCTGGCCGGATTGGAACTGGATTAGAGACTAAGGCTTTCAAATCAAATGGAGTGTCACCAATAAATCGTCTGGATTCTTCAGACAGACATAATTGAAAGTTTTGACGTAGATGGTCCCAAATCAACTAAACATCCTTTCCTAAAATAGCTTGGCCGGTAATCAGTTCGCAAATGGAGGTGACATGAACAAGACTGAAATAAATCCAAGGCTCATTTTTTTTCGAACAACCTGAATATCCCCCGAACTTAACACCAGTTCTACGATTCGAACAAGCCTTTCTGCTGAAGTGGATCGACAATAAAGAATGCATGTGCAGATATGTAACTTCTGACGGTTTCAATAAACTTAGCTTGGAGTTAGGCTGAAAAAATCTACATAGTAGAAGCTCTTACGGGCAAAAAGACTTGTTTTCTGCTACGAGTTTAGAGACCTAACCGCTAATTAAACACAATAGTATGATGTCTAAGGATTGATAATATGTTAAGAAGTATAAATTTGGCCTTATTAGTCACGTGCTATACCAATGCGCGTTTTAAACTTTGACAGTCTATTACTCTAAGGCAAATAAAGTGATTATATTCATATTTTGTCAGCAATAAGATCACATAATTTTCTATTTGTTGTGAAAATATGAGCTAAAACCGACATAATCTCGCTGAGTTATAGCTGTTTGAAATTTATGATGAACGCGCGGGTGCCAATTGATAACAACTAAATGCTTTTGCGCGTAGTGCGCGTCGAAAATTTGGCAAAAACGCTTGCGGAGTGACAATATTCAAACTTCGATAAAGTATATGAAGTGGTTACTTCTCGGAAAGGAAAAATTTAGACAAACACGATGTGACTATTTTTGGGTTGATTTAATACAACTGCAAAAACTTATTCAAACTTCAAGCAAAAAAGTCAACATTTTTACCACTTTTTTTTTATTTTTACCTGCGCTAAAATAGAGGGATTTGTTTTATTTTTATACCATCTTGTGCGGCTGTCTTTTAGCTATCTTTATGCAAGTTTTGCCGACATGCCAACAAAATTAACTTGCCCAAATTATCAAAAAACATGGTTTTTTGGCCTATCTCTGGCCCCAAAATCGGTTTTTTGCGATTTTAACCGCGCTAACTCAGTCCAATCATCTTGAAACTACTTTTAATCGATTCTACGGTCAAAAATACGTCTAGTAAGGTGTATCTGGGGTCCCTAGCGTATCGAACAGACAATGCCCGTAAGAGCCTCTACTTTAGTTAGTTAACAAGTTCTGAGACCTTAACCAGAAACCCTTACTGGATGGGGCTTAACTTTGAAAGTAAAAGAGTTAGAGATTTCCGGTTTTTTGCAACATGTTCGTTTTGTAAAAGTAACGTTTCTCCCCAGGAGGAACATTTAAAACAACGTAAATTTGGAGTTATCTACAAATCTCCAGAAAAGTGTAATTTTAGGCCGATCAAAAGTTTGCAACTTTAACTTTGCAGATTCCTGTACTCTGATCGGCTGAATTGTGTCACGTGCTTGCTGCTTGAAGATTGGAATGCGCCACGCGTGCAAATCATGTTTAATGTCGCGCGCGAGGTCTAGCAGTCTGTTTAAATTAAACCACCTCTAGTACCACCACCAGCCAGTAACTTTTGCTGGGTACTTGTGAAACAAGCACGTCACGCAGTACGCGTATAAACATGGCTATGTGAACTGAATCACTCTACAGTCGATCTTCGAGATTGTTCAGGGCCACTGGCCAGCTAGAGAACGGGTTGAAAAAGTCACGTGACAGTCGAGTGTAGAGTGATTAATCATCATCCGGCCCTGAACGACTATTCGAAACCCTAATCCTCTATAAATCTGATCCCAACCCTAATCTTAACTTAATCCTTAATAAAAGCATATGCTGAAACCCTAACCCTAACCTTAAATTCGACTAATATAATATAACTTCCTTATACGGTCATATCTTAACGGGTGATACTCGTAGTCGTAGAATATGTGTTCCATGATCGAGTTCCATCGCGACGAGTCCAACTCGGCGCGCGTCCTGGTAGGTTGTAAACCTACAAGGTCATATTAAGTGATCGATATAGTTTTTCGCCCATATCTCGTCAAGGGGAGCATTTTTACCCTATGTCATGGGGGTGATCCGGAATCATGATAAGCGTCCGAAAATACATCGAATGAAGTTAGTTTTAACTGTCGGGGGCCCTTTTAGAACAATCTAGCTAGCTCGAAGACCGACTGTAGATGAGTGATTAAGCACGCTCGCAAATTATACTTTATTTAACATTTATGTGACTAACTTATATCCGTGCTTGGATTTTGATTTGCATGACCATTGACCAGCATATAATTATATGGAATTAATAATAGCACGTAAAACGTAATCTGATGTGTGCAGTTTTCAAAAGAAATCATGCGCATAAAACCAAACAATTTAGATAAATTGTATTTTTTGGGATCGTTTACTTTTAGTGTTTAGATAACAATGTGCAATGAAACACGAAAAATTGTTCATGAAATTTTCAAAAACCATAATTGAATTTACTTATTTAAAGAGTTCAAAAATCCGTAAACGAGAAAAATTCCCAAAATGCAAAAATAAATTGTTTTTTTTTGGGATCGTTTATTTTAAGTGGTTAGATTACATTTCTGATTTCCCTTTTATTGTTTAGATAACGATGTGTAATGAAACACGAAGAATTGTTCATAAAAATTTCAAAAAACATAATTTAATTTATTTGTTTAAGGAGTTCAAAAATCCCGTAAACGAGAAAAGTTCAATCTTTGAAACGTTATGCCGCTATGCACTTATTAGTATTGGGTCACGCTGATTTGTGAAGGAAGGACATTTGCATTGTCAATAAAATTCAACCTTCAGTTAGGTACATCGAAATAATGAGTATAACAAAATTTAAGCATATCAAAACCATGTTTAACTAAATTCAGTTACTGTTAGAACATTTGGAGCTGAAATCTCTCATAACTGTTTTATCGCTGCACTTACAATAATTTACATATAAAATCATATCATATTATGATCATCCTTTCTTTTCATTAAATGGCTCGACTATTATATGAAAGGTTATTGTCTTTTTGCTTGTTATTATCCAATTGTACAAACAAGAACTTTGTTTTTCCTTCTGTTGTTAAACCTTTGTGTCTTTCTGATCCTGAAGGTTTTTTGGTGCCAAAGAAATAGCAGTCAGCTCTTTAGGACTTAGAACTGTACCAACTTGTTCTGAGGCTGTCGTTCTTCTAGTAGGTCTTGGACTTCGGGCCCTGCCAACTGGTCCTGATGGCGTCGCTATAAGTGATGTTCTTGGTCCTTGAACATTGATAACTGTTCCCGGGGCTGGTGTTATAGAAGGTCTTGGACTTCGGGCCCTGCCGATTGGTCCTGATGGCGTCGTTATTGAATTCATCGGTACCCTACAAACCTGTCCTTTGGTTGAAGTTCTTGAAGTCCTTGGATTTGGAACCTTGCAAACTGATCCTGGCCTAGCAGAGGTGGCTGTTCCTGTTACCTGGCTCAGTCTAGACTCACGGTTGAATGATGCACCTGTCGATGTCACTTGTGTCTCCATTTCAACATCTTCCATCCTCCCACACAAAATCATAGTGCGTCGAATTAATGTGGCAAAGAATTCGGTAACAGTGTTGTCATATAGCAGGGGGTTGATGACTGAGTTGATGGGAAGTACTATCATTGCAAAGTAAACATACCAGCTTGTCGCATCGATTGCTTGTCTATTATGAAGAGCACTTATAATGATGAAGGGTACCCAACACAAAAAGTCTGTTATGATCATCAAAGTTACACGGTTTTGAATCCTTTGGTTCTTTTGAACAGCTTTCTGGTTTTTTGCCTGCCCTGATTTCGCTAAGGATTTCAGAGTATGGTTGTTGATGACACCATAGCACACAGCAATGATAACAAAGCAGAAGAAGTTGACTGCTAGCATGACCCATACAATAAGATTACCCCGAGAGTCAGTGAAGACCATGTCTTCTGCGGTGGTAGCTCGACTTCTTGTTGGATCGTCACTTCTGACAAAGTACTTGAACAAACAAACCCCATCATTTCCATAGAAATGAACCTTTCTCCTGCTTAACTCCCCATAGTTTTGAACATGGGTGAACATTCCATCTACTTTCTCTCCTATTTCCTTCCAAGTCAGGTCAGCTGAAATGTTTGAGGAACTGTAATATGCCCGAATAACTTTGACGTGCTTTTCTTTGTTGGGTAGACCAGTGAATAGTTTGTAGTTCACGTCATCATAGAAGACTCCTTGCACGAAGTAGTCCTCAAGAGATGGTGCTAGGGGTATTAGGGCTAAAGAAAGTGAAGCCACCAAAACGATAACCGCCACTGCAACAACTTTAGCAGTCCAAACTTTGTTGACGCTGGATGGAACAGCCATGGAGCCTAAAGTTATTCCAATCGCTCTTGAAATACTCAAAGCTGTCATGGAAAATAGAGACAGTTGAGATCCAAATGTGCTAATGATGCCCATTACTGAGCAAGCTGTCCCGGAGAGCCATTTCGCTTGATTCTTACAGAACTTTTCACCAAAGATGCTATCGTATATGGACAATACGACTAAGTAAATGCCTATCATTAGATCTCCCAAGGCTACGAGGCTTATGAGAGTTTTGCTGAGTAACATACTTCCAGTTTTTGCCCTTGTGATTGTTGACGCTGTTTTGACTACGGCAATGACGTTAAAAAGTATCGCTAATAGACCCGTAATCCAGCAGGTAACCTTAAGCATCCATCCCTCCAAAATCTTCTTTCCGCACTCAGAATTACATTCGTCCGATAAGTCCGAACAATCAAATATGCCATTACACTTTTGATCTAAAGATATTAACTGTGGATTTGTACCGTTTTCAGTGTTTTTGCAGAGCAGATGATTGGAACAGCTTTTCTCATCAGACATATCGCCACAGTCATTGACAAGATCACAAACCTTGCTGAACTCTATGCATCTGCTGTTGTCACATTCAAAATATTTATTCTGGTAGCCCAGGTCTGATTTGGTTACGAACGTCAAATGTGAATCCTTGGCTGTTTCCGCAAGAGTGTACACACGATCAGGATATTGACCTTGACAAGAGTCATGCTTGAGTGGCTCTTTTTTTAAAGGACATTTTGAGTCCGTTATACACAGTCCCATGCAACTGAGATAGACATAGTACTCACCAAACAAACTGTTGCAGGGAACTTTTGTGCTTGGCACGTTGAGCAAAGTTTTCACTCCGAAGACTTTCTTATATGGACCATGAACGAATTCTTTAATTTCACACTGTTTGTTTCGCCTATCCTTCACTGAGCATAGATCTCCTACATTGTCCTCAAACACTACCGACTTTTCAAAGGTAGGGGAATCTCTAGAAGTCTTACAGACATAATTTTCTGTGCCACAAGACTCAACGCCGTCACAGAGAAGGTCAAGTTTTACAAACGGTTGTTCGGCCCCAGGACATAGGAATACATTTTGACAAGAATGTTCACCAATCAGGGTTATAGTTTCCCAAAAATATTTATCGTATTCACAAAACTCAAGCTTTGATCCATTCAAGTGCTTCATGCTACCTTCATCCAGTCCATTTTTACAATCTTTTTTACCATCGTTTATCCATGACAAGGGAATCGATGTGCTTTTGTTGATGCCAAAACCCCGTTCACATTTAAAATGTTCAGCTGTGGTAAATTTGCAAATGTCAACGGATTCGTCACTTCCATCAGGACAATCATTAATCTCGTCACACAGTTTGTGCTTGTGGACCACACAAGACTCTGATGGTGAAAAGCAAATGTTTTCCATGTTACCATCACACAGCCCATGGTATTCATCGTTGTCTCGACGAGAACCATGATCACTATGATCATTCTCATGTTCCTCATCATGATCCTCCTCATTTTCCCCCTTATGATCCTCCTCATGTTCCTCGTCATGCTCATCATCATGCTCATCATCATGCTCCTCATGATCCACATGATAGCATACCATCGCTTTTGAAATACTTGTCAAAACTCCGCCAACTTCACAATAACCTCCGATCCGATTCGGATCATTACAATTTGTTTGATCTAAGAAACTCTTACAATAAGGATAAATTTCTTGGGCCACATCAAATGCAGCACATCTAGTGTAGTCCAAAATGGGGACCTCTACTTCTTCCTCTCTTATCTGCATCCGGTAGTATTGAATACAGGTTTGATGAGAAGTATTATCAGTTCTACAATCGGCCTCGTCCTCCTCATCACGGCATCCACTTTGACCATTGCATATCCAATGGACAGGTACATAGATTTCCTCTCCACTGACCCTCTCACAAGTTAAGCCGTAACTAAACCCTCCACATGTTGCTTCGTCCTCACAATTAGTTGCTGTATCGCATTTCCCATCGCATATGGAGTCTGCAACAATCTCAAAAGTTTCCGAATATTCCGAGCCAAGATGTTCATCATGTCCATGATCTTCGTTGTCCTGACTCAGGGATTCGAATATTCCTCCACCCTGCTCACTTTCAACAAAGTGACCTCCACAGATAGCATGATTGGTGTTCGTTAAAGGAGTGTTGAATCCACAAGCTTGATAGTGTCGTTCATCATTTTCACATAAAGCAGTAACGTTGGAGAGTGAATATTTTCCTGTGGCTTGGTCCCATGTGTCGAGATAACTTTCGTAATTCGTCTCAGAAAAGGGACATTTGTAAATCAGTTTTGATTGATGGCTTAAACAGACACTTTTGAGGAAGCCACCTACCGGTTCTATTTCACATTTTTGTTCTATCTTCTTTCTGAAGTCACGGCAGAAATTATTGCACGCACAGTGTTGGCGCGTATTTCCGCAAGTTTTCAGCTTTTCATTACAACAAGGGTGTTCACCGTCTGGATCACATTCCGCAGCAGTACCGTCGTGAAGTACGTGATTTTTACCACACTTCCTGTCATACCTCCATCGTTGGAAATCCCCTGGGTTTTAAACATTCTGGTGATGGATCCAATGAATTTTATTGCTCGTAAACAATCTCCCTTTCTGTTCAGTAGCTTGACCCTCTTTCCCTTAAGCCATACCGACGTTTAACGAGTCCGAATAACAATCTGATCTCATCTTTACACTTTCTAATACCAAACCCTTACTGTTGTCTGTTACCCTGACTGTTACCCAGTTTATTCAGCAGGAGAATTCATTTTGAGAATTCATTTTGAAAATGCAAGTAAAAGTCAGATTTATTTTTACCTATATTCGTAGCGCAGTGTAGCCAGATGTTGTTTTCATAATCGCAACCTTCATCGGTGTTAAGCTCCTGGCAATGAACACTATTGGACGTTTTCTGTGCACAACGCAGGATGGGAATTTCATTTTTTTCTAAGTATGATCTGAAGAATATGTTGTGTTATTATTCATATATTTTGGATCATCAGAGTGGAAATTGTTTGTACTATTGCACTCTTTGTTATCACAAATATTACTTTTAGTAATACATTAGTAATACTAAGAGTACTTGGAATTTTCTTCAATATAAATATTAAAAATAAACCAAAATTTACCTTGGAGTATAAACAATATTTTGAGGATTTGTACCCCACTGGCCGTACGTATACCCAAGCTTTGAACAAAAAAGATCCGCTGCATCATAATCAAAGTCCGGAGTACAGACTGTTCCATGTTTCCGTTCTCCGCTCTCAGCATCGACATAAGACACAAACAGAATACCTTTGTCGTCCCTCGCCACTATTTCTTTTGTTTCGATATCAAATTGGTAAAGTGAAGGCTCTGAAATGAACATATAGTGAACAGCTTTGATCTCATTGCTGCACAGGTCGAAATATGATTTTTATTTTGATAATTTTTTACAAAATAATTTTTGTATCAAATTCCTGTTTGTAATTGTATTGGTTTTCTGAAACATTTCAAATCCAATTTTCTTTTTTTAACTAGATTACTACCTGTTGGTGATTTAATTTAGGAAATAATTAAATCTTTAAATGTACACTGTACGGCCCAGGTCACTTTTACACAAACCTATGACGTTAACATTAATAAAACCGGACGATTTTATTAATCTTCCATCTTCTTCCACACAGCATCTGTACTTCCCAGAATCTGTTAAAGCTATAACATTGGGGAAAGTCAAGGTCCCCTTGTTGAATACTTGCCCATCGTAGGAGGAGTTGGTTGATGGATATCTTTCTTCCCTCTGCAATGGTGATATGTTGTTGTAACTTTATAATTAAATCTCGGCACTTCGGAATAAATATCGTCAGAACTTCGGAACAAAAAAGTTTATTTTTTGTGTGACAAAAGAAGAAATCCTTTCAAAAACCAATTTTTCACTCTCTTGCTGTTCTCTCGTGATCTTTTATAGATCAGACCCAGCAGAAAAATGCATACCTTGCACCAAAGCACTGCAACTTTTTTGTTAGACGAGTAGGTGCAGATGTTATTGTTAATGGACACTAATTCCTCACCAACAAACTTGTAGACGTTTATTGTTTCGTTGTAATCGATGATTTCTAGGATTGTTTACATTATTTGATTTTTAAAAAGGAAATACACTTTAGCAAATTAGTAACATATTATTTGTTCTGTTTGTAGATTAATCAAGTTTTTAAATCAATTGCATAAAAGGCAACTGAGAAGAAGTTTGATTTATTTGAGAGTGCAGAATGCAGATCACCAAAAATAATATAAATTTCCTTTACTATTGACTTATAGTAGAGTCAGATCAAATCTTTGTAAAAATATTCCATATAAGTAGAGATGAACATGGAGAATGCCTGTTTGTGTTGCCTTTATAAGGAGATCACTAACCTCTCACGTACACAGATGCAAAATTAGAGCGAATTGTGTCTTTACCCACGTACTCGGCGACACAGCTGTAACGATTCCCGTAGTGTTCTTCATATGACAATGATTCGATGACGAGGCTGCTTTTACCTGCATTAACTGTTACTGTAATCCCGCCACCATCACTGCCCGCTGAAAGCAGAAGCATGTTGCAGTGAACGGACACTTAACACGAATATCTAACATAAAATTGGTTGAACCAATAAAGGAGCCGTATTTATAACGTCAGGGCAGCGAATTGAGCAAAATAATAAATGATTAAAAGATCGTATTTTTATCGAATCTTAAACGGTGATAATCTGAAAGCAAGTAACGTAACACTAAGATTATAAAATGTATTTAAAAAACCTTGTACTAAACCTATTTGTTACAATTTGAAGACCGTGAATAATTGGGTAACCTAAACATGTGAGAAAGACATCCTCGTTAGGGCCGTTAATATGGGTTTAGTTTAGCAAGGGTACGGACGTACGTTGTACCTTTCAAGTTTCATTGGATTAGGATACCTTATCGGACCTAATTTGGACGGACATTACTTGAACGCTGGAGACCCTAGCGATTATTTTAATGTCCGTTCAAATAAAGTCCGTTCATTTAATGTCCGTCCAAGTTAAAGTCCGTTGAATTTGAAAATACCACACTAGGAACTCAATCTAGGCCCATCTCAGAAGTACTACAACGGAAGTGGGTTTGCTCTGAGCCAGGTAGCGACAGCTTCAAGACTCCAGGGGTCTGTTGCATTGATCTTTATTATTTTATGATTTCGTATATACTTTGGGAGTCCTGATATGCAGCTAGCAGGAGTTGCATTTTGTGGGCACGGCGATAAGACCTCCCTCTTAAAGTAGGAGGCCAGAAACTGTTGATCATAACAGAGAGAGAAAGACATAGGGTTAAAATGCTCCCCTGACGAGATATTGGCGAAAAGCTGTCTCGATCACGTAATATGACCGTATATATACGGTCATATTACTATATATAGTATAACTATAAGGAAGTTAGTCTAATTTCTCGTTAGGATTAGGGTTTCAGCATATGCTTTTTTTAGGGATTGGGTTAGGGTTAGGGTCTCGAACAGTTGTTCAGGACCAGCTAGAGAACGGGCTGAAAAAATCACGTGACAGTCGAGTGTAGAGTGATTCATCATCATCCTTTGCACACACCGAAACGCTAGTTCAGTTGCATGGTTGAGTTTTTAGAGAAAAGGCTCATATTAGGATCAGAAGAAAATTGTTAGCAGACATTTATAGGGGTTCTGTTTATATTTGTTACTATGGGTTTCAGTCTTGTTGTGACAGAAAGTCTACACTATAGTATGTTTAAGGTTATAATTATATCGTGTTGGTTGAGGATATAAAATGCAACTTCGAGATGGATATTGGGCAGTATCGAGATAGCCCGACCACTGGTCCGCGGACCACTGTCTGCGGACCACTGTCTGCGGACCACTGTCCGCGGACCACTGTCTACCAGATCATATTACTGTATAATAACAGTATCCCCTGAATCAAGCAGGGTTCACATCATCCCCTGAATCAAGCAGGGTTCACATCATCGCACGCGAATTCCAATCAGCGGTGGTGTCAAGGCTTATTAAACGATTAAGCAACCTTACGAGATCAGTTCACATCATGCAAAATATAAAGAATAACTATTATCAGACTCACCGATACGGATGAACTCAGCCCTACCCTGCGACCCTATCTGCAAACCTATCTCACCTCTCGACAAGTGGACTCAAGCTGGTAAAACCCTCATCGTCTCCAGAGCCAACCCAAGCTTCTGTGTTTTCTGCAACAAGAGGCATGCTGGTATATCATGCGCTGCTCATGACCCTGTAGCATCTTCTGATGCCGGAGGTCTTGCTAACTCCTCTGCTCATGCTCCTCGTGTCCGCTCCAAATGCAACAACTGCGTTGTTATGAATGTCCACCGAGAATCTTCAGTCCGCGATGGGATCCTACATTCTACTACAAAAAAGATAACAAAGCTTTGTCCTGAGCATTCCACCAACTCCTCAAGACACGATAGATAGAGACAACGCTGAACCCTTCACTGGCCTACACACAGCAAGGATCACAAACATCCCTGCTCCCATCACCTCCAGCCGATGTATTGCAGCCTAGTCCTCCAGTTGGATCACAAACATCCCTGCTCCCATCACCTCCAGCCGATGTATAGTAGTAATATGATCTGGTAGACAGTGGTCCGCAGACAGTGGTCCGCAGACAGTGGTCCGCAGACAGTGGTCCGCAGACAGTGGTCCGCGGACAGTGGTCGGGCTATCTCGATACTGCCCAATTCATGGTAGATCTCAACATACCACCCAAAGCAGAGAGAGAGACATATCTATACCAACCATAATGCTTGAACGACGCTTCACGGTCACCACTCCTGGAGCTGACAACATTGGATATAGAGGCTCACTCCAAAAAATCATCGACAACATCCCCATTGAAACCATCACCTGCTACACAGACGGGTCACGCACAGACTCAGGTAGCGGGGCTGGTTATATTATCAACACAGACAACAACAACACGACACTAGATGAAAGATCATTCAAGCTTCCCGATTATTGCACCGTTTATCAAACAGAACTCACTGCCATCATCGAAGCTTGTAAATATCTATCAACTTATACAAACACACACATCATCATATGGTCAGACAGTCTCTCCTCTATTCAAGCCATATCCTCACCTTCAACGAGGAGTAGGACTACTAGAGACTGTTACGACACCCTCAATACACTCGGATCCACTAACACCTTAGAGATCATATGGATAGCTGCACACATCGGATTGTGGGGTAATGAAAAAGCAGACGAGCTGGCCAAAAATGGTACAACCAGTGAATCCACTTTGAATTGCCCAATTCCACAATCTTACATCAAACGCCTGATCAACGACAAAGTCACAAAACTTAATCAAGAATCATGGATTACTGATGGTCCCAGACACACTAAACTGACACTTGGACATAAAAACATCAACATCATCAAAAATCTCAACACTACACTCAGTAACAACAGACAAAATTACAGAACTGCAGTGCACCTCATCACGGGACATTGTGGCCTCAACAAACACCTACGCACCATTCGCAAATCAGACACAAGTGCTTGTCCTAAATGCGGCGACGGAGAGGAGACTGTCTCACACTTTCTCGGACAGTGCCCGGCTATTGCTCAAATAAGAGGTCAATATTTCCGGGACTACTACCTCTCTGTCAATGACATATTCGACAACCAACACATCTCCACCATTGTCAACTTTACAAACCACACTAAACGCTTAGTGGTGCCAGAGGAGTTGGACCAGACAGGTGTAACATAGCGACTTCTTTAACGCCGTCTTATTTCGCCTCTCTCTTCCACACTCAACCACCACTTAAGCGTTTATCTATGACACACCCCACAACACTTACCATCATCCTTGATTACACATCTTGATTCCACTGGCATCCTCCCACAGGACTGCCATACCCCAATTTACAATGATCCATCTCGGCCACCATACCCCAGAGGTAGGCAAAGCATTCATATGCTATCCTCTCGTGGGCCAACCAGGCCCAGCCTCTCTTTAAAAAGAAAAAAAAGAAAAAAAAGCTTGCTCTTCGTTTGTGTCCCTTCAGGACTTATACTTGTGAATTACCCTTATGATCAAGTTTCTGCTGCTGCTTCTCAAGATGACCTGTTCAGGGCTTCTAAGGACCTGTCAGACTCGGAGGGAAGTGGAAGCACTGGAGAGAGTTCCAACAGCAGTTCCTCTAACAACTCCTCCAGTGCAGCAGCGGCATCAAAGTCAGAAAGGGAACAGATCCAAAGCAGAGGAGCATTGTCTAACGGATCCCGTAGCATCACCACTGGATCAAACGGAAATGGAGACGGGAATGACGAGGAGGATGAAAACAATAAAAGATCTCGCTTACTCCATGAATGCGAGTCTAGTGTGACAACTGATCAGAAAGATAAAGAAGAAGACAGTGGTCATACTTCTGGAGGAGACGGAAGTAATGAAGGGAAAATCTCATCACACAGCTCTATGGCGGCCGAGATGGCTCACGTATGGCGAGCCATCTCGGCCGCCATACAGCTCTTCTGCAGACGACAATAAAACTAGAAGGAACCAAGTTAAGAGCAGAGGAGCACTTTTCAACGGTTCACGTAATAGTTCTCTGAGCTCCAGTTAATGTTATAGAGAGGACCACAATGAAGAAAAGAATAACAGAAACGGACCACGGCTGCTACACCAGTGCAATGATATTGCCTTGAAGAAGCCAGAAATTAAAAATTTCAGCCCACAAAATGCTGTACTGGACCGAATGTCACTGACTTTGAAAGAACATAATAACACTAGCCAACACCAAAATGTTCAGGCTATTACTGCCAACTCTACCCAGATAGACCACAGCCAACTAGCAAACCCGATGTTTGATATGTCTGTGCTCCATGGGATCTCCAAAATATCGTACTCGTTTTGGGAGTCAGCGAAGAATGTATCCCTGTTCGGCAGAGGTAGAAACGTTAGTGAGGTGAGTGACATATCAATTAGTAGTGAACTATGCGACCTGTCTGACATCGCCGAGTTATCTTTGAACATAACCATTCAAAACACCACAGTACTGGACGACAGTGTACATGAGAACAAAAACAAAAATCTTAAGATGAACCAGAAGATGGTGGCTTTGAAGCGAAACACACAGATGAAAGAAATAATATCTACACTGGACTCGCCAACCCAGAGATAACGCCTATCGGGATCCCACATAGATCGAGGTGCTCTAGGATCAGAACTAGATCGGAGTGTTCTCCCTTGATTAGAGCTGGGCCCTATGATGTGCCACTGGATATTATCCTAAGGAAAAAACAAAGAGCGGACAGGAAAACCCAAGCCACTCACCATAATGAGACACCAACCAGCAAAAGGAGGAGAAACTGGTCGGAATCATTTAGCTCTAAGGACTCCCCTGGTAAAATAAATGAAATAGACTGCGTTCGGGTAAGGGACTCGGGTCTTTACGACAGCAGCAACGGATTGGGAAGTTACTTTCACTTGGAACATAACTATCTTGACCCCTCTCCGCCAGACTTAATGAACGAAGAGGATAAGAAGGATAGTAAAAATTTC